TGAAGAGGTTTAAAAAGTAACTTTCTGGGCCTCATTTCCAAAGATTCTTGTGGACATACTGGTTTGGAAACCGTGGGTCAAAGCACTGGTAGAGCAGTTTTAGGCAAGTAGAAGTGCCTCCCATTTAGTGTGAAGAAAATGATAACCAAGGAGGTTAATGTGGCTAATGATTGTGTGAATGAGACACATGAGGTGCTTTTTTCAAAGCAACACTGTGATATAGGTACTGAAGCTAAATGAACTAGAAAATATTTGCAGTTTCACTTGAAACAAAGAGGCCTCAGCCCTTACTGTGAAATCAAGAGCTATGTTTGAATTCCTCTGAGGTGGTAAGGAGACAATCTTAACAAAATGTCAAGACCCTATCTTGTTCCATACCAAAAAAACCAACAGTACTGGAAAGGTCCTAACAAAGTCCCTCCTAAGTATTACAAGTGGAGCATTATTACATTTTTTTGCATCTCATTATAGAGATTGTCAAGGAGGGTAAGTATTTTCAGGAGTTTGTTAAAAAGATAAAAAAGAAGTATAAAGTTTTCCACCGAGGAAGCCTGTTAAACCCCCTGCCTTCCTTCTACTACTGCTCAAGGGGAAGCAAACTACCTACACCAGTGGTGGTGAACCTAGGGCACCACCTATGTGTTATTTTTCTTTTAAAACAAAAGATGTTAAGGTATAAGGGTTTTTTTTTTTTGTTGTTGTTTTAAATGAAAACCTCAGTATTCAGGTTTAATTGCAGTGTTGGTACTTTGTGACAAATAAATGGGTTTTGGATTGAATGTACGCACTTGTCTCTAGAAGATTTGCTATCTCTGACCTACACTCACTCTCAAACTTCTCACTTTTAGACCAGTCCCTCCTTTAGTGTTTAGTTTCTGCCCCTTCCTTAGTGTGCTATGAACCTGACTGTCCTGGTGAGAGTCCTGCCAACAACACTCTCCACTTTTCTATTCTTAGTCAATCCCTATGAGAGATTAACCATCCATTTTTCATGAGTAGGGCCAATAAATATGCTGGTAAGTAAGTACCAACTGATAATTCTAAATTAATGATTACAAATTAGTTAGCATTTAGATTTTTAAATTGAAGTAAAAATATATATATATATACATACTGTGCCTGCAAGAGAACCTCTGTCCTGGCTTTGTATGTGTGTGCATGTGCCTGTGGGTAGGAGGGGACTGGGGACTGAACTCAGACCTTTGCCAGGCAAGTGCTCTACCACTCAGCTACATCTCTGTCCATTTTTAACTTTTGTTCCCCTTAACTTCAGATAAGGTCTAAGCAGTCCAGGCTGGTCTAGAACTTGTGATCCTCACTACTCTGCAGCACCCTAAGTAGCTGGAATTATAGGAATACATTCCTTTTATCCCCCTCTCTCCACTTTTAAGGTACTAGGGATTGAACTTCCCATTGAGCTACTTCCCACATCCTTTTTGAGACAGAATATTGCTAAGTTCTAATTTGCCAAGGCTGGAATGGAATTTGGGTTCTTCTTGCCTCTGCCTCCCAGGCTAGGGATTACAGGTATACGCCATGCCTGGCTTATCTTGATTTTTGGGAATAATTTGTCTTGTGATTCCAGCCTCAGAAATTGTTTTCATGTGACCCAGTAATCTTTTACTTATCCTTTCCGTTTCCCTGTTGTTCATGACTTTTCTGTTTCCTATTCTCCTTAATTTCACTGCTATATTCGCTCACATTCAGCAGGTGACCTAAACAATCACGAGGCAAATACAAGACAGTTCTCCCAATTGTCCTCAAACCCACCTATCTTTATCATTACTTTCCTTTCTTCTATCTATACTTAGCATCCATGCCTCTTCAGACTCATCTCTTGCAACCCCTCTACCTTATATATATATATGACACATCCAGCAGTCAAATAAAACCCTCAGAGTTCCTTGTTAAACACGAAGTTATTTTATGTTTTTTGAGTCTTTGTACACGCTGTTCTCTCTTCCTTGAATAGCTTTCTTTGCCTCCTTCTCCAAACATTACTGCTTCCAGGATGCTTTCTTTTTTTTTGTCTTTTTCATTTTTATCGGGACCAGGGATCGAACTCACGACAGCCTGCTTGCAAGGCAGGTGCTTATGCCGCTGAGCTAAATCCCCAGCCCCCCAGGATGCTTTCTTGATACGCTGGTCTAACTTACATGATCATGCAGCAATCTGTTCTTATTGCTACTAGACAAGTTTTACCTCATGCAACTGTATGTCCCTTACACTACACAGTATTTTGCCTAAATATACTGGACTTTCCATACCTGTACCTCTGCCATATAACAGGTGCTCAATGTGATGCTGATTTAATTTTACTTTTAAAAACCAACTCCTTCATTTGTACCATGCCTTAAAGCTTTTAAAACTTTTCTCATATTAACTTCTCCCTATGGTTAGTATTTTTCTAGCCACCAGTTGCCTTAATTTATAAAGTATTTAAATCCTCATTCTTAAAGACAAAAATTCTTTTCTTCAGTGTTGCCTACTATTCACATTGATTGATTCACATTGATACATACTGTTTTTATCTCCTTTTCACTCTTCAACTAACTTGAATTCTGACTTCTGCCATCACCATTTCCCCAAAGCTGCTTATTATTCAAATGCTATCAATAATGTACGAACTGAGCATATAAGATGTGATTTTTCTGATCTATTCAATTTTTCCCAATGGGAAATATACACAAAAAAGCAAAAAAATAGAAAAATACCTCTATGTTAGTTGCATTCAGCTTCTCTTCCATTACTTGCTTGAGAATGATAAGTGAAGACTTGATGGCTTCTTTCAGTGTCATAGACTTGAAACAAAGACAGGGGAGCAGTTAATGTTAATTATGTATAATCCCTCCTTGTTTCAAAGATTTCCCCTTTATCTCCCTCAAGAAATGATTTAGCAAGAATTAATATATAAATCCAACATCCTAATTTATATAGTACACTACAAGTTTCCCAATATTCAAGTAGGTGGTAAGGAAAATACACTTATTCTGAGGATAAGATGCCTTATTTTAAACCAATCACCAACTTTCATATAGAAAATGAACTTTGAAAAACTAGGTAGCCCAAGCTGGCCTCAAACTTATAATCTTCCTACCTCAGCTTCTCAAATAACTGGCATAAAAAAGCTTTTAAAAATTGCAGGTCAGTGGTACCTCATGCCTGTAATCACAGCACTTGGGAGGCTGAGGCAGGATGATCACTGTGAGTTTGAGGTCAGCTTGGGCTACATGGTGAGTTCAAGGTCTGCCTGAACTACAGAGTGAGAACTAGAAATGTTAAGCTTAATGAGGTGGGCATATTGGAAGTACAATATGCTAAAAGCTAGGCCTTTAGTGCCAAACAGCCAAATTGTAAATACAAAAGAAAAGCTCTTGATGGAAATAAAAAGTGCTACTCCAGAGAATATGTAAATGAGAAAACTATGAAACAGGTTTATCCTGATATGGAAAAAGTTTTAGTGGTCTGGATAGATTAAGCCAGCCACAGTATTCCCTTAAACTAAAGCCTAATACAAAACAAGGTCCAAATTCTCTTTAATTCTATGAAGCTTGATGGAAGTATGGAAACTGCTGAAGAAAAGCTGAAAGTTAATGAAATACTGGCCTATGAGGTTTAAGGGGAAAAAAAATCCTCTCTGTAATATAAAATGCAAAGTGAAGCAGCATCTGCTGGTGTAGAGGCTTAAGGAAGTTATCCAGATGATATAACTTACATCAGTGATGAAGGTGGCTACAATGAACAACAGATTTTCAATGTAGACCAAAAAAACCTATGTTGGAAGAAGCTGACATCTAGGACTATATTGCTAGAGAAAAATCAATACCTGGCTTCAAATCTTGAAATGATAAGTGACTGCTATTAGGGCCTAATGCAGTGGGTGACTTTTAAATTGAAGTGAATTTTTACTTACAATTCTAAAAATCTTCAGGCCTTTAAGATTTTTATTAAATTAGCCAGGTGTGGTAGCACACACCTGTAATCCCAGCACTCTGGGAGGCTAAGGTAGGAGGACCATGACTTCAAGCCCAGCCTGGACAACTTAGGTGGATGGAAATAAAGTTCAGTGAGAAGGCCCTGGTTCAATTTCTAGTACTCACTGCCCACCAATAAAAGAATGGGGGAAAAAAAATCGAATTAAAATTTATTCTGCTTATTCTCTGAATAGAACAACAAACCCTGTATGATAGCACATGTGTTTATAAAGTTCACTGAATATTTTAAGCCCACTTATAAGAAGCTCAGAAAAAAAAAAAATTCCTTTCAAAATATTGCTGACAATGCACGTACCCCATCATGCAAGAGAGCTGATGCAGATACACAATGAGACTGATGTTGTTCTCATTCCTGCTAACACAATATCCATTTTGTAGCCCATGGATCAAAGAGTCATTTCAATTTTCAAGTCTAATTATTTAAGAAATATATTTCATAAGGAGATAATGCAGCTGCTCGAAACAGTGATTCGTCTGATGGATTAAGGCAAATACACTGAACACCCCTGTAAAGAGTTTATCATTCTAGGCTCCATTAAGAACATTTGCTTCACACAGTAGGTCAAAATATCAACATCAACAGGAGTTAGGCAGAAATTGATTCCAACCCTCATGAATCACTTGGAGGGGTTCAAAACTTCAGTGGAGGAAGTCAGTGCAGTTGTGGCAGAAATAGCAAAGATTTAGGATTAGATGTAGCTGAACTGCTGCAATCTCACCATAAAACTTTTAATAAATGAGAAGCTGCTTCTCAAAAATAAGCAAACAAAGTGGTTTCTTGAGATGGCACTACTCTTAGTGAAGACGCTGTGAACAAGAGGAGAAAGGATCTGGAATACATGAACCTAATTGATAAAAACAGCAACAGGGCTAGATAGACTGACTCTTAATTTTGGAAGCAAATCTGTCAGTAAATGTGAAGAAACAGCACTGCATCCTACAGAAAAATCTTTCAAGAAAGGAAAAGTCAATTGATGGTAATCTTCATTGTCTTTTCATTTTAAGAAATTGCCACCTGAACTGAACTTCAGCAACTACCACCCTGATCAGTAAAGACCCATCAATAGCAAGGGAAAAGAATACAATTTGTTGTTGAGCATGGTGGTACATGCTTGTAATCCCAGCACTCAGGAAGCTGAGGCGGAAGCAGCAGTACAAACCTGAAGCCAGCCTGGGCTACACAGTGAGTTCAAGGCCAGCCTGAACTACATAGTGAGACCTGCCTCCAAAAATAAATAAATAAATAAATAAAATTTATTAAAAGCTCAGATGTTTTGTACTTTTTAGCAGTATTTTTAAAAGGCATATATATTTCATGCCTTGACTTACTTTTTTTTTTTTTTTTATGCCTTGACTTTCATGCAATGACTTTTCAAGTTTACACTACTATGTAGTATAAACATAATTTTTATACACACTGGAAAACTAAAAAGTTCTGTGACTGATATATTGCAACATTAACTTTATTGCAGTAGTCTAGAATCTAACCCGAAGTGGCTCCAAGGCATGCCTGCCTGTCTTAGGAATTGATGTGAGCAGGAATCCCTGTGTGAACAATCTGAATGGTAAATACAGCACCTTTCAACCACATCAGTAACTTGCCCAAAATCAAATCTTTCTATCCTACAAAGAGAGTGCTAGATAGTCACTTGCTTTAAGAACCAGACAAGGAAGTGTAAACTAAGTGAAGCTGTGAGAACAGTGGATAACACATTGACATACATCTGTATCATGGGAATGTTACTCAGAAATAGGAACTAACTATTGATTCAACAATATAAACTGATCTCAAAAGCAGTATGCCAGGGAAGGCAGTGTAGCTAGTGGTATAGCATGCACTTCACATATACAAGCTCCTGGATTTAATCTCAAGCACAAAAACAAAATAAAAATCAACCAAACAAAACCATTATATTAAACAATAAAAATAATAAACTAACTCTATTTACATAAAGCATAAGAATGGCAAAACTAATCTATAGTAGTATGCATAGTTGCAATAAAGGGAAAGACTGATTGGAAAGTGGATTAACATTTTTTGGGGATGACAGAACAATAATTAGCATGTATACTGTGGTTCCAAGAGTGTATATAATGGCTAAAACGTTTAGAACTCAACTCTTAGGTCTGTACATTTTCTTATATGTAAGCTATACTTTGATTTAAAAATAATTATATGTGTTATGGGAATGTTTGACTACCTTATGGTAAACTTCTTGCAAGGAGCTCTGGGCACCCTCTGAAGCAGAGCCAATTGCTCGAGCATCACACTGTACAAAGGTCCCAGATGGGTCCATATGAAACCTGCAAAACAACCCAGAAGAAAGGTATTAAAATACTTAAAGAGTGGTGGTATTTTACATAACAAACATTTCACTAAAATAGTATATAAGTACTTGGTCCTATAACCAAGAAACGTCACTGAAATACTGAGGGTATAGTACCAAACGATGTATGTTTTGAGAAACTAAGTCTCTTAAAAAGGGTTTAAGAAAATTACCAACTTCCTCAGGGATTTAGATGTACCGCTAGTATATAGAAATATGGCACTTGTGTATGCCTAAGTCATACATGAAAATGAGGACTGCAGCAACATTTCAAAGCAAAGCTATAAATCATATCCCAACTATAATAAGGTTACTTCTAATCCTTTTCAGAACTTAACACTAGTTCTAATAAGGGAGTTTTTCATGGATCTCCAAATACAAACAAACCAAAAAAAAAAAAACTTTAAAGAGTTAGAAGGCTTTCTTTTTTCCCTCCAAATGTATAATTTTCTGTATCAATTTAATCTACCAGTCCCCATCCCAAATTAAAATAATCACTATCCCTCCTCCAAAAGCAGGGGTGGGGAGAAAGCCAGCATGGTACTTACAGCTGGGGTCCCTTCTCATCAACTCCTCCAAATAACAGTGCTACTCCAAAGGGACGAGACTAGTGCCAAAAAGCAAGAAGTATTATGATAAGTAGCTATAAAATAGAGGGTTGGGAAAATACGCAGAGGAACAAATATCCTAAGTCCTATAGAACATCTACAAATTTGACACAAGCACCATACTCACCATGGCACCTGGATCTGCATCTTCTTCTCCAAACTGTAGGGCCAGATTAGACACAGCTTGGGTCACACTCTCTACTGTCATTGTCTCATTATAGGTAAACCAATGGTTCTAAAAGAGTAAAGAATGATATTCTCTTCTAAAGGAAAGGTATGAAAGCAGTGTGCCACCTCAATATTCTTATCCTTTTAAACTGTGGCTGGAAATTAAAGGCTTAAGTTCATTCTCCCTAATTAATAATAGTCACTGAGTATTTGGGACTGCATGAGAAGATAAACAGTTCTAGAAATAAAGATACCAAAAGGGTTTTAAGCTGTAATGGAACTAGTGGATTATTTCACAAAACATAGCATGTACCTGTAAAAGCAGAAAGTAAATGCTAATAACCAATTGCCACTTTCTCTTCTTTCAAAGTACTAAGAGCAAATACACAGACAAGTACAAAAAAATCTGCTTTGAAAACTGGTTTTTCCTATTAGCCTACCTATAGGTCACAGGTTGTCAGTTTGTTTATTTTTTGAAAACAGGGTCTCACTATGTAGCCCAGGCTGGCCTCGAACTTGCAGTAATCCTCCTGCCTTAACCTCTTGGGTGCTGGGATCACAGATGCGCACCATGCCCAGCACAGGAACTCAGTTCAAAACAAAACAAATCAGCATCCCTAACCAGTATGTCACCTGGTACAAATCAGGAGAGCAGTTACTTCTTACAAGCCTGACAAGAAAAGGCAGTTGGAGGGAAATCTTCCTTTAACTATGACTACCTCCTGCCACAGCACTCCCATGAAAAGCCAATCAGGGAACAGAATGTAGTACAGTAGAAGGTAAACTCAGGAGCAAGAGACTGTCAGCTGTACTGATTAGAGCTTTCTTAAAGCTACTATGGCTAGACGGCTAAACTCTAAGCTATAGGAAGCCTCCCAAAATTACTCCCAAGAGCTATATCTAACATTGTATATGCCTGCAGTGTAGCCAAAGCAACTCTGTAAGTTGCTAAACAAGAAATTCAAGCAGCAGAATAAAAAAGAAAAAAGATGCCCATTTTACCTGTGTTTCCACTCTTGCCTTATCAATTAAAGTCTTAGCATCAGCAATTAGCCCACTCATGGCACAACCTGCAATATAAAAGCAACAGTGACCTACTGACCAAATCCTTGTAAAACTCTTTCATCCACTGAGAAAATACTGAAATTCTGGAGTGGAACCATGGCAAGATACTAATCAGATTGAATTGGAAATTACTGGCGTTAAACTCAACTATAATGACGTTATAAACAAGCCATCCACGACGACCCAGAAGTCCAGATAGTGAGCTAGAAGACAAAGAACAACAGCCAATCAAACATGAATTTCCACATATTATATCTCTAAGGATCTCATTCTTTGTAGCCCATGATGCACTTTGAACTAAGCAACCACTGATTCAACCCGAGAAATAAGGAAAAAAACTATTTCACTATTGTCTATAGGGCACAGACTCAAAATAGTATCAACAGCCTTTTCACCTTTCTTTCCCAAACAAACCAATCAGTCAGAGACAAAGTTTGCCTGAGGATCCAAAATGCCAAGACTACAACTAGAATTGACTCAAATATAAACCTTACCCTAGGTTTCTCTCCCAAATTTTAGACCTTTAAAGCCAAATGACATCTCTAATATTTACTTGAGTATCTTACTAAACTCAATTCATCTTATTTCCCTTTAAAACATCATTTTCTTCCTTTTTTCTAAGCTGTGTGTAATCTGGCCCTTACAACCTATCAAGCCATTGCAAGTTCTGTCAGTCTCTAGCTGACTAACCTGTCCGACATTAGTCCCTTCCTCTCCATTTTCTGAGCACTGCCTTGGTGAAAGCCTTCATCACCTCTACATTTGGACTATTTTAAAAATTACTTAACTGGTCTGCCTGCCTCCAGTCTGCCTCCTTCAAACTATTATGAGAATGGTCTCTCAAAATTTTAATGGGACATTACCTCATTGCTTTAAAACCTTTCATCAGTGCAAAAGGATCAAGCTCAAGCAAAAGCTGGATAAAAAGGGACTTTCACTCTCTGACCCCAAACACATCTTTCATTAGTCAACTTCACCTCTCAGTCATACTAATGTGCTGGTGCAATTTACTGTACTTTATACCACCAAAGTTCTGCTTATTTCCATTTGTTCTGAAGAGAATGCTCTCCTCTGCTACACTCATATCTATTCACCCAGTAAACACTTATTTTTCAAAATTAAACTAAGTTTAAACATCATGTTCATGGATCCTTTCCTGAATGCTCTAAAACACTGACCCCAGGCAAAACTAATTTTTTGTTTTTTATATCCCTACTAAACACATTCTATGAAGTCTTTAATACCTATCATTTAACTGCATTTACTTATTTGTCCATTGCCAGGATCAGACTACATGCTTGTGGAACATAAGGATTCCTTTTTGTATCCCTGGCACACTGTATTTTCTTAATTTGCTAAACAAAGTGACAATGACCAAAGTAGACAAAATGGTCTGTACCTTTTTTTCTCTTTTTCTTTTCCAGTGCTGGGGACAGAACTTAAGGCCTCGTGCATGCCAGAAAGTACGCTACCTCTTTGCCCAAGTGATCTAATCTTATAACACCAAGCTCCCACAATCACCATGGAATTTGATTCTAATGCCTTCAATTATTTTATCATTGTTTTAATAGTTATATGACTACGTATGTTAAAAAAAAATTGTATAGCTAATTGCTACAAATATAATTACTTACTCTATAATACTACCAAATGTCAGAAGCCAAAACAAAGGCTTTATACTAAGGATCGCAGAAAAAAAAGGTGAGGGAGAACCAAAAAAAACAAAAAAAAGCATGAAAACAGGAAGAGAAACTTGATCTAGACAAAGCCTATTCTTAAAATTCTGAATCTTAGTCACTCCTAAGATCTTTGAGAATTCTTTGTTCTGTGGACACTCTAGCTTATCATCCATGATACTCTGTTCCTGCTGGCCTGTGATCAGGGCTAATATTAGTCATCAATGAAGACCCAGAGGGTTAACCTATAACTCAACCTTTGCATATTTAAACAATCATCTCATTTGCCAAATCTAAATCTGAGGAGTAACTAAGAGAGTAGCTCAGTGTAGAGCATCTGATATCCATGAATAAAGCCCTGGGTTAGATCTCCAGCACTGCAAAAATTAAACTTGACAGGGAAAAGAACTTCTAGGAATGGGTT